CCCATCTGCCCGGAGCCTTGGCCGGCTGACAGCTGTCAGGCAGGGGAGCGCTGGGATTCCCTCCCGCCAAAGCCCTGGAGATGGGCTCACTCCCAGGGAGCATCTGCTCAGCCGGCTGCTGGAGTGCCAGCCTGGCTGCTCTGCCAGGCACCTCGGGTGGCATCACGCAGCTCCTGCGCTGCTGCTGCTGCTAATTCATCCGGCAAAATCGCTTCTGGTTCATATCCTTCCATACCTGCTGTTGCTTCTCTGCGGTCTAAACAGCCTTGGCTCTCAGCAGTGTGAATTGCTGGGGTGCGGCAAGGGAGAGCACATCCCAGGTTTGGGAGGAGAGCAAAGCCCACAGACACTCCACTGTGGGTGGCAGCAGGGCTGTGTCTGGCTCTCTGGCACTAGTCAGTGTTAGCCTGGGCCCCTCAGCTCTGACGTCGCTGGAGGAGATGCTGATGGATTTGGGGTGCGTCTCTAACCACAGTGTAGGATGGTCAGGGTGGAGTTACAGCTGGAAATGTGACCTGCCTCCTTCTATCCTGCCCTGCCAAGTGCTGGGCCCCCTCCTCGGCTGCTCTCCCTGCATTGTTCCCATGTATCCTAACGCCAGGATCACACCCTCTTCCCTTGCAGAGATGGGCGACATGGAGTCCTACAAAGTGATGCTGAATGGGCCGGCACCCTGGGGCTTCAGGCTGCAGGGAGGGAAGGATTTCAGCATGCCACTCTCCATCTCCAGGGTAAGAGAAGCCAAGGCTGGTGACAACCATCCTTCTTCCTGCCTCTGTGGGAGGGAGGCTGTGACAGCAGTGTCCAGGTGGCTGAGTCAGAGTCCTACAGGGGATGCAGATGAGTTGGGGCCCCGGGAGTGCTGCATCCTGCCCTGCCTGGCTCCATGTAGCCTCTTTGGTGCCTTATCAGCTGCAGCCCGGCACAGGGGTGTTCCGGGCAGAGAACTGCAGCAGAGATGTGAAATGCTGCACAGCCTCTGCAGAGGGGGCAGGGGAGGCCCCTTCCGGAGCGTGCCCACCACAGGGGGAAGGGATCTGCTCTCTGAGATGTGGGACTGCCTTCCTGATTGGCACCCTAACGCTGGGATCGGCATCCCAGGACTCAGCCAGTGCCCTCCTGCCCTCCCTTCCACTGCACAGCTTCTAACTCCATGCCTGAGCTCATCCCTGAAATGGGCAGGGAGAGGAGGAAGCTTGCACTGCTGCCTGCACGGGGACATGATTCCCTCCACAAAACCATCCCGTTTCTCCTGGGAGAGCCGTTGTGCCGCAGCTGGTTGTGGCTGAGGCCTCTGGTTTGAGCTGTGCCTGGTGCAATGCTCAGCCAGGCCAGGTCTGTCCCCGGGCGGATGCTGGCCATGGCTCTGGCCACACAATTGCCTTATAAGCCTTGGAATGTGACTGCAATGCCTGTGCCTCTGGTGCTCGGGCAGCTGGCACGGAGGCTGCTTCTTGAAGGACAGCTTTGCTCGTGGCACCGGACGCTGCGTGGGGCCCTGTCCCCGGCACGAGCTCGGCGCTGCATGCCTGTCCCAGAGGACACAGATCTCTGCAGCACCCAGGCAGGGAGGACGGGCCCTGAGGGCACCATGTGAAGCTGGAGTCACCAGCACCGCTGCCCCAGGGCCCACTGATCTCTGCTGAGCACGCAGAGAAAGCCTCAGCGAGTTTATTCTCTAAAAAATGTTTCTCTTGGCTGCGAGCCAGCGCTTAACAAAGGGTCTGGTCGGATGAAGGAGCCTCCCAAAGCCCAGGGCAGGGGCCTTATGAAGCAGCACTTGGTGGGGCTTGGGCAGTGCTGCTGTCAGGAGCAGTGAGGGGATGTAGCCAGCTTTGGGGGGTTCTCTGTTAAGAGCAGGCTTTGTGGCAGGGTGATGTGCTCTGTCTGAGGGGAGGGGTGAGCCTTGCATTGCTCTGCACTCCAGCCCCAGAGCTCCTGCCCAGAGCACACTGCTGCCCTTGGCCACTGCTTCCCATGAGCTTGCCCTGCTGGAACAGGATGTAAGGAAGCGTCCTGCCTCGGCTTTGAGGGCTACAGTGGGGTCCTGCTCTGTGGGGCCAGGGACCACAGGGGGAAAGCAGCACTGGCGTGTGCTCTGGCTCTTGGCTGTGTCCCTCACTGTAACACTACTGGGTGAGCTGTCAGGCTGCTGCAGCTCACTGGCCACATACAAAAGAAGTGCCACTATGACCCCCTGCACGTGGATCTCCCGTGGCAAGGGGCTCTTCTGGGATACTGACACCTGGGCAGACTGTATGCCGCGGTCCCTGCAGCAGAGCCAGGGCAAGGGCTGCCATCTGGGGAGCTGGGTGCTGTGTGACACATCCCAGCCTCTGCCAGCTGGGGAAGAGGGGAGACCCTTGGTTCTGCTGGCAGGATGATGCTGGGGGATGCACCTTCCAGCCTCTCCCCACCATGCTGGGTGATGCTCTGTCCTGGGGGTCCCTGGAAAGGGTGGCAGGTGGGCATCTCTCGGGGTGGGGTGATGGAGGTGCAGGGAACAAAGGACTGGCTGGGCAGAGAAGGGAGGAAGGAAATCCTGGGTTTAGATTAGCAGACCTGGGTGGGAAGCGGGAGGACTGGCACTGCCACAGCTCCCAGCTGAGCTGGCACCTGCCACAGGGGTTTCCTGGCGTGCCAGCATGGAGGGGGACGGAAAGTGCTGACCGGGCTGGGTGAGGCTGTGTGACGCAGCCTGACGTGCTCTCCCCTTCCCGACTGGCCGTGTGAAAACATTTCCCAGCTCCTGCTCCTGCCTGCAAACCCACACAGCCGCCCTGTGCCTTCCCCAGCCCTCCAGGGCAGCAAGCCGGGGCTTGCAGCAGCATGGCCAGCCGGCACCACTGCTGCCGAGGGCACCCTCCCGTGCTGGGCAGGAGGAGCAGGCACTGGGCTGAGGGGTGGCAGCAGGATGCAGGCGGAGCCGAGCCACATCCAACCCAGCTATGGAGTTTGGCCTCACATGGAGTACCAGTATTGGTGTAGGGAAGGGGAATGTGGCTCTGGGGTGAGCCAGGCTCTGCGCACGGGCAAGGAGGGGCCAGGACTCAGCGGCAGGGATTTTTCAGCCCTCTGACAGTGCTGGGAATCTGGCTCGCTCCTTTTATGTTCACGTCGAACAGGACTTGAGGAAATACTTGGTCCGGGTCCAAGCGCCTCGAGTTCTTCCATGCTGGAGGAGCAGGAATGGCTGCATCCTGCCCACGTCTGTCTGTCTGTCAGTGCCTGGGAGCTGTGTGCGGTGCTCTGGGCCCTGCTCGCCTCTGGCTGTGCATCCCTGGTGGGAGGGGAGGGCAGGACAGGCTCCACTTCCCAGCACGGGGCTGACAGGGCTGACGTAGAGCCGTGCAATGGAGCCACAGCGGGGGCAAGGCACATCCCTGGCACTGTGGCCGGGAAGGAGAACCCGTGGCCGTGCTCTCGGCTGTCCCGGCGCGACGATGTCTGGGGGAGCAGCGTGGGTGGGGGCGGGTGTCTCCCTGCCTTGGGAGGGCTCCTGCTCCTCTGTGGGAATGAGGTAATGTCTGCGCCTGCTGGGAACAGGACGGGAGCATGGAGCGCAGGCAGCTGGGGGGAGTGCCCAAGGGGTGCCTCCCCTGACCCCCCCTCGCCCCAGGCGAAGGGCTGGACATGCCTGTGGTTTGCAGTGAGATGTGGCTGCCCAAAGGGCCCTGACTCACTGTGCTCCCTTCCTGCCCCGGGACCACAGGGATGGCTCTGAGGGGTGGCCAGGCTTCCTGCCGAGGCTGAGCCAGCACCGCCTCCGTGTTTGGCGTCATGGGGATGAGGCCCCGGGGTGCTGGCAAGGTCCCCAGCCTGCCAGAAGGCAGGGACTGGGCAGCACCCTGGAGTACTGCTTTGCCCTCTGCTGCTGCTGCCGAGGGGAAGAAGCTGCTCTGGGCTCATGTACTGGGAAATGAGGAGTGAGCTGGGTGTTCCCACCTCCCCCTGGGTCAGGCCTGTGTGGGTATCCTGTGCTGGGCTGGGAGCCTGAGCCCCAGCAGACCCCTTGCCTTCATGAGGATGAGGACATCCCTCTGCTCCCGAGCCAGCACTTGGCTGTTCCAGCTCTCCCTGATTCTGTCTGTCTTGCAGCTGACTCCAGGTGGGAAGGCGGCTCAGGCTGGTGTGGGAGTGGGCGACTGGGTGCTATACATCGACGGGGAGAGCACCAGTGCCATGACACACATTGAGGCCCAGAACAGGATCCGTGCGTGTGGGGACAGGCTCTGCCTCACCCTGAGCAGGTAGGAATCATGGGTCCTGCAAACATGGGGTCTTGGTGTGGCCAAAGCATAGCCAGGGCCATCTCCCAGCATCTCCATATCCTGGCATCACTGCTCTTTGCTCAGAGCTGGGCAGCCCCTGGCTGGATCTGAGGGTTCAACTTGGCCGGATGAGGCTTAGCCTGGCTGTGAGCCACAGGGCAGTGCCAGCGGGCCATGGCTCCCCTTGGGTGGTTGTTGCATCCCTGGGGTACCAGTGTCCCAGCAGTGCCTGGGCCAGTTCCAGCACCTGCCCATCTGTCTCCTCTCTTGCAGAGCCCAGAACCAGCTGGGGAAGCCGCAGAAGGTACGTGTCGCTCATGGTGCTGCAGTGGCAGCTCAACCTTGTCTCAGGGAAAGGGACTCTCTGAGTATAGATGGATAAATAGATTTTGCTCCTGGGGCTCACAGGCTTTTAGGGGACTGGGGTGTGTTTGGAGATCTAGATAACCCCACTGGAGGAGCAGCTCTGGCACCGTGGAGGATCAGAGGGAACAGGATCTGCTCAGGAGGCAGCTTGGCCCAGACTGTGCCCCTGCTGGTGCCAGGTGTGGGCAGGGGTGCAGAGGGGTCAGTGCAGGGGAGGAGACTGAGCAGGTGCAGCACAGTGTTTGCTGGTGCTGGGGAGTGCCCTGGCATAGGGAGGCAGGGCTGAGGCCGGTGACCAGTGGCTCCTGGATGGAAGCCACCTACATGGGTTCAGCTTTGTACCACAGGACAGTTGCGATGGGTGTGTGTGCATGTGCACCGCCCTGCCATGGGCAGCAGCAAGTGTCCGGGGCACCTACTAATCCTCCAATGACCCTCAGGCTGGATTTGTGACCTGCTGTCACTGGGCTGGCTGCTCTGTGGAGAGAGGTGCCAGCCTGGCAGAGCCCAGTGTCCAAGGTGCACGTGCTGTCCAGCTTTCCTACCTGGCTGCCTGCTGCGCTGCCTGGCCCAGGGCTGCCCTTTGCATGCTGCTTGATGTGTGAGCCCGTGTCTGTGTGTTTTGTCTCGCTCAGGACTCACTCCCCTGCTCTGAACCCCTGAAATATAACTTCACTCCCAGCACCGCCCTCAACAAAACAGCTCGGCCCTTTGGGGCCGGCTCGCCTCCGAACCCACAGCCCGGGCTGGTGACGAAACCTGTGACGTACGCGCCCCTGGCGCCCGCCTGCACCCCCCAGCACAATGGGTATGTTGCTGTCCGTCCTGCTCCCTGAGGACTGGGGGGAGCCCGCTGCCCAGCCCTGCTGTGCCTTGCATGCCAGACACCGTGGGTGGGAGTGGGTGAGAGTGCCCGTGCTGGGGTCCCCGGTGGCTGGTGCTGAGGTGGCACAACAGGACTGTTGCACACAGGGACACACAGCCACACTTGTGCCAATCCCTAGCTCAGGGATGTGTCAGCCTGCGGAGAGTCCTGCAAGGCATGACACAGCAGCTGTAGCAGGACACTGGCTGGTATCTGCAGCAGCAGGGAAATGGTGGCTGCCTGGGGATGTCCTGCTGGTCCCCTGGCTGGTGGGATAGGGTGAGCAGAGTGAAGCCCTCCAGCCCTGCACAGCACCATCATCACCCAGCTCTGCTCAACTGCCTGTGTCTGGCAGCTCCTGGTCCCTCCTGAGAGAGCTGCTGTGGTGCCCTGGAACTGGGCAATGGGGTGGGATGTGGCACCCAGGCCTGTTCTGGGGCTTGAGGGAGCACAGTCTGGTCCATTGGCATCTGCCCCTGTGTCCCGGTGTGCTCACAGCCCTGGGCGAGCCGGGTGTGAGTCTCAGGGGTAGAGGGACTAATGTAGGCCATAGGTGAGCTCTGGAAACTTCTTGGGTGCTGCAGATCTAATTTCACCTTCCTTTTTCTTTCTTTCTCTCCTCCCTTTCTCTTTCCCTCTCCCTACAGGTGCTGAGCCTTGACAAGTCAGTAAGCCTTTTGCCTGCTCTCTCTATCCTCCCCACATGCCTCTTCCCTGCTATTGCCCTGTTCTCCGGGGCAGGGCCAACCTGGGGACGGGCAGCACGTGCTGCTCTGCCCGTGTGGGTGGGTCACTTCTGGCAGCAAGCTGTCCCCAACCTGAAGGGCAAGTGCTGCCTGTCTCTGCCAGCTGCTGGGGCCCTGGAGTGTCCTTGTGCGTGGTCCCTTCCCTGCTCCCCAAGATGTGGCTTGGCCGGACAAGGGCTGATGGGCTGTGCTAGGCACCCTGCCCAGGGGCAGGTGGCATGCCATGGGCAGTCACTAGGCTCTGGTGCAGCTCTCCCAGTGGTGGTTTTTTGAACATGTCTTATTCTTGCTCTGTCCTTTCTCCTTCTGGCCCTTGGGGCCAGTGTCGCACTATCAGTCCAAAGTCGGTCCTTCGTGGGCCAGGTCTTTACTGGAGAGGAGTAGAAGGGTGGGGAGTAAGGACACATGTGGTGTCTTGAGTACTGGTGTGCTGTGGTTCTTTGCTAGGGGAGGTGTGGGACAGCCCCAGGGAAATGATGCCATGAGATCTGTCAGATTTGACAGATGACTGTCACTCACAGGCAGCCCCCTCAGCTGCTGGAGCCCCCCAGCAGCCCCGTGTGCGACCCTGTGAAGCTGCGGATGTTAGAGGACATTGACGACTCGCAGCCCCACAGCTGGACCTCCCAGTCCCGCTCCTTCCGCAAACTGGCCCGGCTGGTGGGCGCAGACAGCAGTGAGTTTCCATGTCGCCTGGCACTGGCTGGCTGCCCAGCTGTGCTAGGACAACTGGAGCTGGAAAAAGGCTGTGGTGCATTGTGGCACTTGAGTGTTGGTTTTGGCCCCATGTGGCCCCTGTGGGCCAGCTGAGCCAGTGGAAGCTGCCCGGGGCTGTGCGTGGGCTCGTGGTGGTGCCGCTGGTCTGGGGCTGTGCTCTGCCCCATGGCTGGGCAGGGCTGTGCAATGGGGCAGGTGGGTGGCTGGAGGAGAGGGTGTTTTCCCTTTCCTGTTCCTTTTCCATTTCTTTTGTCTCTGGGCCTCAGTTGCCGCAGACTGACTCCACCTTTCTCTCCTGTTGCATTCAGTGGAGGATGGTGAGGATGAGCTTGTTAAAAAGCCCAGGTAAGGGGAACATGTGCAGGGGTGGTAGCAGGAGCCACAAGATGCTCAGCCCACGTGGCTGCTTCATCCTCACAGCTTGCAGTCACTCTGGGGATGCTCTTTGCCCTGTTGCTGTTTCTCCTTTCCTCCTCCTCCATCCTCTCCCTTTCTCAGAGATGAGCTGTTGGTGGAGCCGCAGAACCTGCCCTGTGCTCAGCCCACCACGGGCACTGCCAGTGCTCAGCCACTGCTCTGAGTGTCACCTTGGGAGGGTCCTGCCCGGACACCCACTGGCCAGATGGGATGTCCTGTGCTGGGTAGGACCCGCTTGGCACTGCTGGCACCAAGCTGGGGAGACCAAACTCTGCCATTGCTATTTAAGCAAATGGTATCTGGAGAAGGCTGGTGGCACTAACAACACATTGCTGGGGGTGCTCTGAGGTTCCAGGCATTGCCTGGACCTGGGGCACAGTGTGCCCTGAGCCTGCTGTGGGGCAGCTGGGCAGAGCTAGGTGAGTGTTGCCAACTTCTCCTTGTGCTGGAGTGCATTTGTGAGGGATGGGCTGAGCCCTGGTCAAATCCTGAGTGTTGTGCTGCCATTTTTTTCAATACCACAGGGATGCCCATGGGTCCGGCTGGGGCACAGTGGAGCAGTGGTGAGTGCGAGAGTCTGACGAAGGCACCTTTGGGAGCACTATCCTGTGCTGAAGCAGGGTCTGTGCTTGGTGCTGGCTGAGCTCCTGCCCTCTGTCACTCACAGGCAGCCCCCTCAGCCACTGGAGCCCCCCAGAAGCCCTGGGTGTGATCCTGGGAAGCTGCGGATGTTAGAGGACGCTGAGGACTGGCAGCCCCGCACCGGGACCTCCCAGTCCCGCTCCTTCCGCAAACTGGCCCAGCTGACGGGCACAGATGGCAGTGAGTTCCTGCAGGGCCTGGTGATGGCTGGGGGTGATGGACTGTGTTAGCTAGAATCTGACAGAGGCTGTGGGGTGACGTGTCACTAAAGGTTTGGTTTTGGCTCCCTTGAGGGCAGCTGAGCCAGCGGGAGCTGCCCGAGGCTGTGTGTGGGCTTGTGGTGGTGCTGCTGGTGGTCTGGGGCTGTGCTCTGCCCCATGACTGGGCAGGGCTGTGCAATGGGGTAAGGGATGGTGAGTGGGGAGGTTGGTTTTCCTCCTTTCCCTTCCTGCTGTGCCTGGTCCTTGGTTGCCCCAGACTGACTCCATCTTCCCCTTTTTCTCCTGTTGCACGCAGTGGAGGATGGTGAGGATGAGCTTGTTAAAAAGCCCAGGTAAGGGGAGCGTGTTCTGGGTTGGCAGTAGGAGCTACAACATGCACACCCTGGGCTCAGCCCACCTGGCTGCTTCATCCTCACAGCTTGCAGTCACTCTAGAGAAGCTCTTTCCCTGTTGCTCTTTCTTTTCTCCTCTCCTTGTCCTCCACCCTCAGGTCCCTCTGTCTTCTCCATCTCCCCGGAGATGAGCTGCTGGCAGAACTGCAGAGCGTGACCCGTGCTCACCCCACAAGAGGCACTGCCAGTGCTCAGCCACTGCTCTGACAATCACCTTGGGAGGGTCCTGCCCAGGCACCCACCTGCCAGATGGGGTCCCCAAATGGGGTGTCCCTGTGCTGGGTAGGACCTGCTGGGCACTGCTGGCGTGGAGCTGGGGAGGCTGAGATGCAGCACTGTGTACAGTACTGTACTGTGTACAGTACTGTACACTGGACACAGTGGGTGGGGGTGGCTGGTGGCACTGATAACACCTTGATTGGGGTGTTGGGAGTTCCTGGGCAGGGACTGGACCTGGGGTACGATGTTTTGGTGGGCTGTAAGGCTGGTCAGGAGTGAATGCTGATGGTATTTCTGTAAGGCTTGTGTATCCCTGAGCTGGTGGGGCATACGGGAAGGATGGGCTAAGCTATGGGTCAGCCACTGACTGTTGTGCCACCGTTCTTTCTGATACCACAGGGATGCCTGTGTGTCCAGATGGGGTACAGGGCTACAGTGATGAGTGCTGGGGTCGGGCAGAAGTGTTGGCATGTGCCAGGGCACCTTTGGGAGCACTACCCTGTGCTGAAGCACGGTCTGTGCTTGGTGTTGGCTGAGCTCCTGCCCTCTGTCACTCACAGGCAGCCCCCTCAGCTGCTGGAGCCCCCCAGCAGCCCCGTGTGCGACCCTGTGAAGCTGCGGATGTTGCAGGACATTGATGACTCGCAGCCCCACACTTGGACCTCCCAATCCCGCTCCTTCCGCAAACTGGCCCGGCTGGTGGGCGCAGACAGCAGTGAGTTCCCATGTGGCCTGGCACTGGCTGACAGGCTGGGTGTGCTCAGCTTTGCTGGGGCATCTGGAACTGGATAAAAGCCGTGGTGTGTTGTGGCAGTGGGGCATTGGTTTTGGCCCCATGTGGGCCCTCTGTGGCAGCTGAGCCAGTGGGAGCTGCCCAGGGCTGTGTGCAGGCTCATGGTGGTGCCACTGGTCTGGTGCCATCCTCTGCCTCATGGTTGGGCAGGGCTGTGCATTGGCGCAAGGGGGCAGCAGGAGGAGAGGGCGTTTTTCCTTCCTTTCCCTTCCCTTCCCTTCCCTTCCTGCTGTGCGTGGGCCTCAGTTGCCACAGACTAACTCCATCTTCCTCTTTCTCTCCTGTTGCGCATAGTGGAGGATGGTGAGGATGAGCTTGATAAAAAGCCCAGGTAAGGGGAGCATGTGAATTGGTGGCAGTAGGAGCCACAAGGTGCCCACCTGGGGCTCAGCCCACCTGGCTGCTTCATCCTCACAGCTTGCAGTCACTTTGGGGATGCTCTTTGCTCTGTGCAGATTCTTTTCTCCCTCTCGGTCCTCTCCCTCCCCCAGACTCGGGCAGTTTCCAGAGCTGCGCAAGAGGCACCACTGGTGCTCAGCCACTGCTCTGACTATCGCCTCAGGAGGGTTCTACCTGGGCACCCAGCTGTCAGACAGGCTGTCCCCAGACAGGCTGTCCCCATGTGAGGTGTGCAGGCAGGACCCTCTGGGCACTGCTGGCACAGAGCTGGAGAGGCCAAAGTGCAGCACTGTGGACTGGACACAGTGGATGGGGATGGCTGATGGCACTGACAGCACCTTACTGGGGGTGTTGGGGGCTGCTGGGCTGCAACTGGTCTTGGAGCATTATGTTCCATGCAGTTGTGGAGCAGCTGCAAGGCTGGTTGGGAGTCAGTGCTGCCAGCATTTTCACATGGCTTGTGCCTCCATGGGACTGAGTACATATGGGAAGGATGGGCCGAGCCATGGATCCACCATTGACAGTTGTGCTGCTGTTTTTTCTGATGCCACAGGGATGCCCATGGGTCCAGCTGGGGCGTGGTGGAGCAGCAGTGAGTGCCAGGGTCTGGCAGAGGTGTTGGCATGTGGCGGGGCACCTTTGGGAGCACTACCCTGTGCTGAAGCAGGGTCTGTGCTTGGTGCTGGCTGAGCTCCTGCCCTCTGTCACTCACAGGCAGCCCCCTCAGCCACTGGAGCCCCCCAGAAGCCCTGGGTGTGATCCTGGGAAGCTGCGGATGTTAGAGGACGCTGAGGACTGGCAGCCCCGCACCGGGACCTCCCAGTCCCGCTCCTTCCGCAAACTGGCCCAGCTGACGGGCACAGATGGCAGTGAGTTCCTGCAGGGCCTGGTGATGGCTGGGGGTGATGGACTCTGTTGGGGTAGCCAGAATCTGACAGAGACTGTGGGGTCATGTGACACCAGGGCTTTGGTTTTGGCTCCAAATCACCCCTTGAGGGCAGCTGAGCCAGCGGGAGCTGCCCGGGGCTGTGTGTGAGCTCGTGGTGGTGCCACTGGTCTGGGGTTGTGCTCTGCCCCATGACTGGGCAGGGCTGTGCAATGGGGTAAGGGGATGGTGGGTGGGGAGGTCGATTTTCCTCCTTTTCCTTTTTCTTGCCCTTTCCCTTCCTGCTGTGCCTGGTCCTTGGTTGCCCCAGACTGACTCCATCTTCCCCTTTTTCTCCTGTTGTGCACAGTAGAGGATGGTGAGGATGAGCTTGTTAAAAAGCCCAGGTAAGGGGAGCATGTGCAAGGGCTGCATGTCCCAGGCAGGTGTCTGGGCACTGCTGGCTCTGAGCTGGGGATGCTGAGCTGCACCTTAGCTTTTCGGGTGTATGGATAGTGGAGGAGTCTGATGGCTCTGGGAAACCTGGCGATGAGATGTTGGGAGGTGCAGGGTAGTGCCTGCACTTGGGGCACATTGTCCCTTGAGCCTGGTGTGGAACTGCCAGGCAGATAGACTGAGCTGGGTGAGTACCACCAGCTCGTTTGCCCTCACTCTCGCTGCTTGTGGTGACTCTCAGGAAGCTCTTTGCCCTGTAATGGTTTCTTGTCTCCCTCTCTGTCCTCTCCGTCTCCCAGAACTGACCTGTTAACAGAGCCACAGAGCCTCCCCTGCCCTCAGCCCACAACAGGCACTGCCAGTGCTCAGCCACTGCTTTGACCATTACCTCGGGAGGGTCCTGCCTGGACACCCACTCACCAAACACATGTCCCCAAATGGTGTCCCTGTGCTGGGCAGGACCCGCTGGGCACTGCTGGCACCCAGCTGAGGAGGCCGAGATGCAGCACCGTGTGCTGGACACAGTGGATGGGGGTGGCTGTTGGCACTGATAACATCTTGGTTGGGGTGTTGGGAGGCACTGGACAGCAGCTAGTCTTGGGGCATGATGCCTTGTGGGGCCGTAGAATGGCTGTAAGGCTGGTCAGGAGTGAATGCTGTCGACATTTCCACGAGGCTCATGTATCTTTGAGACTGTGGGTGTGTATGTGAAGGATGGGCTGAGCCATGGGTCAACCACTGACTGTTGTGCCGCCGTTTTTTCGATGCCATAGGGATACCCGTGGGTCCAGCTGGGGCACAGTGGAGCAGCGGTGAGTGCCAGGGTCTGGCAGAGGTGTTGGCATGTGGCGGGGCACCTTTGGGAGCACTACCCTGTGCTGAAGCAGGGTCTGAGCTTGATGCTGACTGAGCTCCTGCCCTCTGTCACTCACAGGCAGCCCCCTCAGCTGCTGGAGCCCCCCAGCACCCC